TTTCCTGTTTCTCACACAAGGCTGTTTGTTCCACTCTTTTTCCCTCTCCTACGATGTGAGCTATAAATTCTGATCGTGAGAGCTATAGATACTTCCTAGGGGGCCGAATGTTGGGAGTTAAAGAGTACAGCTAACCGGTGTGGACTCAAGTCCCAGCTCCAGCGCACATTAGGACACGTCATATATTTTCTGTGTGCATCACAGGATTCCTATGTGTCGAGTAGGAGTCATGATACCGTCTGGGAGGGAGTCTTGTGTGGACTTACTTGCGTTTATGTTAACATTAAGTGAGTAGTGTATGTGACGGACCCATAGATGCGTTAATTTGCTGTGTGCTTGGCCCAAAATGAATGTGTAAGGGTTACAGGTCCAGATGTCTAGGCCTAAGAGGAAGTGTCAGTATTGCCAGTCTTCTTTGGAAAAGACAGACTTCCCCAGAACCTTTCCCTCCTAGCTCACGAGCTCAGGAGCACTGTTCTGGTCCGGGTCCAAACGCTGTCCACACCCACTGACCTTCGATGCCAACAATGTAAGTCTTCTTCCTGGGCTTTCCCTGGGGCACGTGGGAGTGGGGTGTGTGGTGGCTGAATGGAGAGTCCCCTCTCCCACGTTAATACTGCCCATTTCCCCATGTCCTGCCTTCTTCCAGTCCCTACATCTGGACTACGTGATGGCTGCTGCCAACCTGTTTGCCCAGATGTATGGGCTGACAGGGTCTCTGGACCGAGCTGCTGTAGCCACAGTCCTGCAGTCTCTGCAGGTCCCCAGATTTACTCCCAAGTCTGCCATGGCGGATATCGATGTTGCCGACCAGGAACTACAGAGCCCCAGGGCGTCATTTGGTGAGGGTGTATGGCTGTTGAGCCAGGAGTCACTGATCTGCTTGTTTTCTCTCCATGGAAGCTTCCTCCTTTGTCTTTGTTTCTGGTCAGATTTGGCGGGAGTGGATGCTTTTACGCTGATGACTTTTTCACACACCGTACTCTGGGCTTCAACTTTCCACTTGTATAAAACAAGCCGGGTTTGTTGAGAGAAAATCGATCACTTCATTCTGACTCCCGGGTAGATATTCGGAAGACTGTACATCCCTTTTCCCTTTGCTTGTTTGCTTGTTTGTTTGTTCAACTTCTTTCTCCTTTTCTCTGTTTCCCTTTGATAGGTTTCTCTGTGCCAGGACGGAGGATACAGGATGGATGCAGGAGGCTGCTGTCAGTGTTGTGTCCCCTTTCTACTTGACTTCTTGGACTCCTCTAGCTATGCCCTTTCCCATCCATGGGTGTCTCATGTCCTGTATGTTTCTTCCCGCCTGGCTTGTATGTCGCCTGCTGCTTTGATTTTTGTCTGTCTACCTCTTCCTTTGCATCTCTCCACCTAATAGATGTTTTTCCAAGCACCGCATCATACGTCTCTGTGCCCATTTCTAAATCTATCTGTCTCTCTCCAGTTCTCCCCCCTTCATATATTTTCTCCTGACTCACCCTCTTAACATTTCTGGGTCTGCCTTGTTTCCTATGTTCTGTTCACCTTTCATCCCATTTGTCCCATTTTGTGCTTTTGCTGTTTTTTTCTATGGATTTGCCTGTACCCCCTTCCGTGTTCTTTTTACCGCCTCCCACCCCACACAGTCTTTTGTTTACTCGCTTGTCCTGTCATCTTCCTCTGTGAAATTACTCTTCACTATCATCTATCCTAGGATTATTGTTTTTATTTCTTTCCGCATTTTGTGGTACTGGTAATCAAACCTCAGGGCTTTGTGCAAGCCAGGCAAGTGCTGTACCAGCACCTGGGTCCAAACCCCTATTTCTCTAGGGATGGTTTCTTTCTTCCTCTCTTTTCAAACTTCCTGGTCAAAACATGTATGATGTGCTATCTTAGCTGTTTGTGTGTAATATTATGGAATATTATCAAGGAGAGGCCTTGTTTTGCCACATGTCTTTGTGTTCTTTTCCTCTTGTACACCTAAATGTGTGGGCCGGAAGCTTGCCTTAGTGGTAAAACCTGCATAGCGTGTCCCATGCCCATCACCAAGCACAGAACAAGCACAGTAAAACTGTGTCCATTTTAAGGAGTTCGCCCCGTCTTTCTTTCTCCACAGTCTCTGGCAGCTATCATGTGCTTTCTGTGAATTTGGTTTCTTCCAGGATCTTAGAGTGCATAGGTGGAACGAAATATCATTTACATTTGTCTGTTTCCCTCACTTTCCCCGTCCTAATGTATTTGTTGATTTTGCGGAGGCAGTCTCTCTCTCTCTCTCTCTCTCTCTC